AAAAAAAGTTTTAAAACTGTGGTAATGGTTGCACAACTTTTTAAATGTACTAAAAATCACCCAACTGTACACTTATATGGTTGAATTCTATGGTATATAAGTTATACCATAAAGTTGTTTTTTAAAAATTATATAGCTTAAAAAACAATAAAAGTCATTTATTTTGCTCAAGGATCTGGTATTTGGGCAGAGATTAGCAGGGATGTTTCATCTGCTCCCAGGATGAACTGTCAATTGGAGATCCAAATTCTAGGATCCTCACATGACTGCAAGTTGGTGCTGGCTGGCAAGGGAGCCTCTCTCTGGGACTATGTGGGCTTCCTGACAGCATGGTGGCTAGGCTCCAAGAACAAGTATTCCAAGAGACCTAAACAGACAGAAGCTGCAGGCTTCTTCTGACCTAGCATTTGACGTCCCAGACTGTTACTTCTGCTGCATTCTTTTTTTGAGATGGCGTCTCGCTCTGTCACCCGGTCTGGAGTGCAGTGGTGTGATCTCAGCTCACTGCAGCCTCCTCCTCCCAGGTTCAATTGATTCTCCTGCCTCAGCCTCCTGAGTGTTTGGGACTACAGGCATATGCCACAGCGTTTTTGTATGTTTAGTAGAGACGGGGTTTCACCATGTTGGCCAGGCTGGTCTCCGAACTCCTGACCATATGATCTGCCCGCCTTAGCCTCCCAAAGTGCTGGGATTACAGGCATGAGCCACCACGCCCGGCCACTTCTGCTGCATTCTATTGGCCAAGAAGTCACTAAGACCAGCCCAGATTTAAGAAGAAGGGACTCAACCTCTCAATGGGAACAGTATCAGAAAATGTGGCCATCTTCATGTATCATACGAGGTAATTCCAAATGGTTTCCCAAGTGGTAGTACCAATGACATTCCCACTAGCGAGATATGCTCTTTGACCTCACCAACACATGACAGACTTTCAAATTTTTGCTGTTCAAGTGAGTATACAAGTGTTGTGGACTTATTTTGTATTTCCTAATTTCTAAGAAATTTGAGCACCTTTTCAAATGTTTATTGGTTGTTCATATCTCATCTGTGAAATGTTTGCTCAAGTTTTTTATTCCTTGTATTACAGAGTACTCTTTTTCTTATTCGTGGAAATCTTTCTATATTCTCAATACTAGTTGTCTTAGTTTGTTTTCTGATGCTATAATAATACCACAGATTGAATAATGTATAAACACTAGAAGTTTTTTGGGCTCATAGTTCTGGAGGCTGTGAAGTCCAAAAGGATGGCCCAGGATCTTTATAGGTACATGTATACCTATCTAACAAACCTACATGTTCTGCACATGTATCCCGGGACTTACAGTAAAATATATAAATAAAAAAGAAAGATATATTTTTTTAAAAACACCCTTATAAGTTATTTCTGGAATTTTCAATTTAGTATTTTCAGACTGCAGTTGACTGCAGGGAATTAAAACCATGGAATCTTGGATAAGGGGGAACTACTGTACAAGCAGGTTGCTAAGATCAGTCTTGTGTACGTCTCCTGATAGGTGTGTATGAGAGGGCCTTCATGCTGTCTCATCCCATGGTGGAAGGCACAAGAGCAAGAACAGATGGATGCTGAACTTCACCCTTTTATCACAAACCCACTCCCATGATAATTAACCCACTCCCCCAGTAATGTCATTAATACATTTACGAGGACAGATCACTCATTAACTCACTGCCTCTTAAAGGTTCCACCTCTTAATACTACACAATGCAATTAAATTTCAATGTGAAGGCCAGGTGTGGTGGCTCATGCTTGCAATCCCAGCATTTTGGGAGAACAAGGCAGGACGACCACTTGAGGCCAGGAGTTCAAGACTAGCCTGGGCAACACAGTGAGACTCCATCTCTACAAAACATAAAAAATTAGTCAGGCATGGTGGCACATGGCTTTGGTCCCAGCTACTGAGGAGGATGAGCCAGGAGGATCACTTGAACCCAGAAGTTCAAGGTTTTAGTGAGCTTTGATTGTACCACTGCACTCCAGCCTGGGCAACAGAGCAAGACTCTGACACTAATAATAATAATAATAATAAACAAAAATAAATAATTTCCCCAAGTGTTTTGCAGAAGACATTCAAACCACAGCACTAGTCCATTGTCAGTTACGTGGATGCAAATATCTTCTTCCAGTTTGCGGGTTGGCCTTTTGCTTTCTTTACAGTATCTTTGGATGAACAGATACACATGTGGGTCTTTTTCTTCTTCTTCAAGACAAGGTCTCACTCTGACGTTCAGGCTGGATGGTTGAGGCTACAGTGGCGTGATCATGATTCACTGTAGCCTTAACCTCCTGGGCTCAAGTGGTCCTCCCACCTCAGCCTCCTGATTAGCTGGGACTACAAGCATGTCCTCCCATGATGCCTAGCTAACTTTTTTGAGTTTCTGTAGAGACAAGGTTTTGCCACATTGCCCAGGCTGGTTTCCTCCTCCTGGAATCAAGTGATCCTCCTGCCTTGGCCTCCCCAAGTGCTGCGATTACAGGCGTGAGCCACCACAAGCAGCCTGGGTCCTTCTCAAGATATTTCCTCCTATTCCTTTGGTCAATTTTACTAACTCTGCATTAAAGCCATTCTGTCTTTGTTGTTGCTTTATAACTCAATAATTTATAATTTTATAATGGGGGGAGACTTTCTACACAATGATACTGATAATCTGTGCTGGCCAGAATGGCATATCTCATTGTGGAAAAGGCAAAAATAGGTCACATCCCAGTTTTATAAATAAGGAAATAAGGTCAAACCCAGGACTGCTGACTTTTAATTGAGTTTTCACTCCATCTCCCTAAAAACTTCCTATCACTATATAAATCAAAAGTGCTGTTTGAGGAAAATAAGGGGCTGGCTTTGCTGCGTGTATTCAATCATTTCTGCTCAACAAACGTTAATTCCGTCTATTTTAGCAGTGATCAGATACACAGGCATGTAGACGCTCTTTGTGAAGTGCTAGGTACGTGTAAGCTATTACTATTATTATCATTGTGGTATAAGAGATATATCTGGGGCCAGGCACAGTGGCTCACGCCTGTAATCCCAGCACTTTGGGAGGCCAAAGTGGGCAGATCACGAGGTCAGGAGATCGAGATCATCCTGGCTAACACAGTGAAACCCTGTCTCTACTAAAACTACAAAAAATTAGCCGGGCATGGTGGCACGTGCCTGTAGTCCCAGCTACTCGGGAGGCTGAGGCAGGAGAATCATTTGAACCCAGGAGGCAGAGGTTGCAGTGAGCCGAGATCACACCATTGCATTCCAGCCTGGATTACACAGCGAGACTCTGTCCAAAAAAAGAAAAGAAAGAGATCTATTTGGATCCTAGCACTTTGGGTGGGTGGATCACTTGAGGTCAGAAGTTCAAGACCAGGCTGGCCAACATGACAAAACCCCGTCTCTACTAAAAATACAAAAATTAACCAGGCGTGGTGGTGGGTGCCTGTAATCTCAGCTACTCGGGAGGCTGAGACAGGAAGAATCACTTGAACCCAAGAGGCAGAGGCTGCAGTGGGTTGAGATCACGCTACTGCACTCCAATCTGGGGTGACAGAGCAAGACTCTATCTCGAAAAAAAAAAAAAATCGGCAAAAGACGTGAACAGATACTTCTTAAAAGAAGACACATAAGTGGCCAACAAGCACATGAAAAAATGCTCTATATCACTAATCATTAGAGAAATGCAAATCAAAAAAACGACGACATAACATCTCACACCAGCGAGCATGGCTAATCCTAAAAAGTCAGAAAATAACCGATATTGCTGAGGTTGTAGAGAAAAGGGAATGCTTATACACTGTTGGTGGGAATTGGGAATGTAAACTAGTTTGGCCACTGTGGAAAGCAGTTTGGAGATTTCTAAAAGAACTTAAAAAGAACTACCATTCAATTTAGCAATCCCATTACTGGGTATATACCCAAAGGAATATAAATCATTCTACCAAAAACACACATGCACATATATGTTCACTGCAGCACTGTTCACAATAGCAAAGATATGGAATTAACCTAGATGCCCATCAATGGTAGACTGGATAAAGAAAATGTGGTCCATATACACCATAGCCATAAAAAAGAATGAAATCATGTCCTTTGCAGCAACATGGACAGAGCTGGAGGCCATTATCCTAAACCTAAGCAAATTAACACAGGAACAGAAAACCAAATACCACATGCTCTTTTTTTTTTTTTTTTTTTTTTTTTTGCGACAGAGTCTCACTCTGTCACCCAGGCTGGAGTGCAGTGATGCAATCTGAGCTCACTGCAACCTCCACCTCCCAGGTTCAAGTGATTCTCCTGCCTCAGCCTCCTGAGTAGCTGGGATTACAGGCATGCACCACCACACCCAGCTAATTTTTGTATTTTTAGTAGAGATAGGGTTTCACCATGTTGCTCAGGCTGGTCGTGATCTCCTGACCTTGTGATCCTCCTGCCTCGGCCTCCCAAAGTGCTAGGACTACAGGCGTGAGCCACCACCCCAGCCACCACACGTTCTTATTTATCTCACTTTATAAATGAAGTCCACATGGACACAGAGGGGAATAATAGACACCGGGCCTACGTGAGGGTGGAGGTTGGGAGGAGAGCAAGGATCAACAAACTTTCTATCAGGTACTATGCTCACTACCCCGGTAACGAAATCATTTGTACATCAAACCCCCGTGACACGCCTTTTACCCATGTTACGGACCTGCACATGTACTCCCTGAGCTGAAAATAAAAGTTGAAAAAAAAAAAACTCCCTTTGGGGAAAAACTCACTTATCTGCCCTCCCCAGCGATGGCTCATTGATGTAATTCAAACAGTTTCCCACCATCTTTAAGGAAGCAAATGACTCTTTCCCATTCCCCTTCTTTCTCATAGTACTGCCCTTCTCCTGGCCCCAGGCTGCTGGAGAAACCGAGGAAAGCAGACACGGCCCTACCTTCCAGAAGCCTTAGGAGCACCACAGCCATGGGCATGGGAAGGATGCCCTTGGGATTCTCGCGAAAGATTTACCTGTGAAGGGCAAAGTCCAGTGAGACCAGGATGGCAGCTCCAGGTAGAAGGACAACAGAGAGGAAGGAACAGAGGATGAAGTCCCTGTGCCAGGAGGCTTCCTGCAGGGGGAGGTGTGAGGGGTTGCTGGAGGTGAGGAGAAGTCACGCGGCGCAGGACGCTGTAGGTGCCTGGGGAGCAGTGGAGGCAGTGAAGAGCTGTCATCAGGAAAGCGACATAGGAGACGTGCTGTTTCATTTATTTATTTATTTATTTTTGAGACAGAGCCTTGCTCTGTCACCCAGGCTGGAGTGCAGTGGGGCGATCTCTGCTCACTGCAACCTCCACCTCCCGGGCTCAAGTGATTCTCATGCCTCATCTTCCCAAGTAGCTGGGATTACAGGCACGTGACACCATGCCTGGCCAATTTTTTTTTTTTTTTTTTGTATTTTTAGTAGAGACGGGGTTTCACCATGTTGGTCAGACTGGTCTCGAACTCCTGACCTCAGGTGATCCGCCCACCTTGGCCTCCCAAAGTGTTGGGATTACAGGCGTGAGCCACCGTGCCAGGCCTCGAGATGTGCTGTTTTAGAAAGATCTGTCCTCACAGACGCATGGAAGAAGCTAGGAATGAGGGAGAGAAGAAATGAGGAGAAACAGGCCCGACTCCTCCCAGGTGAACCTCCTCCCTTGGCCTCCCAGGCCCTCACTCCTTCCGTTCCCCTCATTTACTAGGAGAGGAATTGTGTCCAGAGCGCCCCAAAACCTGAAGGCAGAATGCAGTCCTGGATTGTTGTGGAACTTGGCCACGTTTTAAAAGAGACCTTGCTGAGCCCATGTCCTGAATAAAATGAAGGAAATGGACTCCTGGCTTCCAAATATTTCTTCAGATGGGAGACTGCTCAAACAAAGTCCTGCCCTGATAAAATGAGGAGTACGGCAGCAAGGGGGCGCTCCCCCAGCACGTGGCGGTCCGGGCTCCCTCACTGAGGGATCTGTGACTCAAGGTTTCCAGCACTCTAGCTGGCTTTCCTGCTTCAACCACGTTCTTTTTTGGGGTGTATTTGAATATTAAGCTAATACTTATTTCATTGCTTTAAACGAGGTGTGCTTTTGAGAAGCATGGTCAATACAGCAGGAGTGAATGTTTTTATGCCCCTGTAGCTTAATAAGGAAAGCATAATTCATTTAAAATGGACTGACTCCCATCCTAAATTCTTATATTAAAGAAATAATCCAAAAGGAAAAAGAAAAGTTATAAGCATGAAGTTCTCTGTCACAACATTTTACATAATAGTGAAAATTGGGAACCACCAACAGAGAATCGAGTTACGCACTTAAGTATAATACTAAGTGTGATACTCAGTGTGATGATGGACAACTAATAAAACATGCATTGTGAGGCTGGGTTCAGGGGCTCACACCTGTAATTTCAGCACTTTGGGAGACCGAGGTGGGTGAATCTACCTGAGGTCAGGAGTTTGAGACCAGCCTGACCAACATGGTAAAACCCTGTCTCTACTAAAAATATAAAAATTAGCCAGGCATGGTTGAGGGCACCTGTAATCCCAGCTACCCAGGAGGCTGAGGCAGGAGAATTGCTTGAACCTGAGAGGCAGAGGTTGCAGTGAGCTGAGATGGCACCACTGCACTCCAGCCTGGGGGACAGAGTGAGACTGTCTTGCTCACACCGATAATCTCAGCACTTTGGGGGTCCATAGCAGGTGAATCACTGGAGCCCAGGAGTTTGAGACCAGCCTGAGACTCCATCTCTATGCAAAAAAAAAAAAAAAAACAAAAAACAAAAAACAAACGGCCGATGTGGTGGCTGGCTGGGTGTGGTGGCTCCCACCTGTAATCCCAGCACTTTGGCAGGCCGAGGCGGGTGGATCACCTAAGGTCAGGAGTTCGAGACCAGCGTGACCAACATGGTGAAATCCCATCTCTACTAGATACAAAAAATTAACCAGGCGTGGTGGTGCATGCCTGTAATCCCAACTATTTGGGAGGCTGAGGCAGGAGAATGGCTTGAACCGGGAGGTGGAGGTTGCAGTGAGCCAAGATTGCACCACTGAACCCCAGGCTGGGCAGCAAGAGTGAAACTCCGTCTAAATAAATAAATAAATAAATAAATAAATAAAATTTTAAAACAAACAAACCAATCATTGTGAATGCTGGGGGAAGGTAGAAAAGAGGAAAATGCAGAATACAAAATTAGACAAAGGGACGAGGCACCTGGGAGAATAGGAGTCGAACTCGCTTCCGTCTTCATTTCTTCTTCTCTTCTTCCTGTATTTTTTCTCCATTTCTTCCACAAGAACTGTGAGAACATGGGAAATGAGCTGATTTATTAGGGTGATTTACTACAGTGATTTTCTTCTGCTTTTAAGTTGTTACTCTTTGGGAGGGCAGGAGCTTAGAATCCAAGTGCAATAAAAGGTAGAGAAGACGCTGTGTGTGGCTAAAAGCAGCGCAGAGCTTCCTGGGCCATCTCAGCTAGACCAGTGCCTTTTTCTTTCCCCCTGGGCCCTGAATATATCTCCATCACCTTCCTGAATGCCATGGGGTAACCATCTGGTTTTGAAACAAGCTGTGAGGAGCCTGGCACGTAGTAGGCACTCGATGAAAACTGTGACAATAACACAGCGTTCCTTTGTAATGCAGAGCTCTATTGTTTTGGCTTTCAGAGAAGGCAATGTAACTGACATACTGAGATCATTAAACAGCAAAGGAACTAAGAAGGCAAAAGAAAGCAGTGCTTTCAACTATTTCTGTTTTCCAGAATACTTGTTGAGACTGTAAAAGGAGATTTAGAATCACAAAAAGTAGGCCAAGGGTAAGAAAAACTCTTCATACCCAAGAGAATTCAGCTGACCAAATTAAGTCTAATCCAGAATAAACAGCTCTCATCTGGAAATCTAGCAGTTCCAGAAAGTACTGTCCAAGGGGAAAAAGACTCACAATGTTGATCTGCATAATTATATAACCCCTTAAGAAAGAGGCAGGAAGCACTATGGTGCTGGAGTGCACAGGGAAAATCAAATGTGAGCACAAGCAAAGCTGGGCTCACTCGAGAAAATAACAGTTCTCAGCCCTCAAAGAAGAGGACTTTGTTACTGAAGAGAATCGGGCTCATGTGCCCTTTCTCATGAATTTGACCAACCTCAGTGTGTTTTCTCTGTGTTCACCGGACGTCCAAAACCTAAAACAAAGTTTCTATTATCAACTGCCTCCAGCAGAAATTACACAAATAGTCATGTGAGGAGTACTGCACAGGAAGGAACACACTGGAAACTAAACTGAAGCTTGGCTATTACAAACAGGTCAAGGCTATTCATGTTGGTGTTTTACCAAGAAAAGCATAATCACTATCCCCTTAAAAGCCAATTAAAACATCAAATATAAACGAAATCCGGCCGGGTGTCGTGGCTCATGCCTGTAATCCCAGCACTTTGGGAGGCCTAGACGGGTGGATCACCTGAGGTCAGGAGTTTGAGACCAGCCTGGCCAACATGGCGAAACCCCGTCTTTACTAAAAATATAAAAATTAGCCGGTTGTAGTGGCGTGCACCTGTAGTCCCAGCTACTCAGCTAGGCACTGGTCTAGCTGAGATGGCCCAGGAAGCTCTGCGCTGCTTTTAGCCACACACAGCGTCTTCTCTACCTTTTATTGCACTTGGATTCTAAGCTCCTGCCCTCCCAAAGAGTAACAACTTAAAAGCAGAAGAAAATCACTGTAGTAAATCACCCTAATAAATCAGCTCATTTCCCATGTTCTCACAGTTCTTGTGGAAGAACTGGAGACTGAGGCAGAAAAATTGTTTGAACCCGGGAGGCAGAGGTTGCGGTGAGCTGAGATCACGCCACTGCACTCCAGCCTGGGTGACACAGCGAGACTGTCTCAAAAAACAAACAAACAAACAAAAAACCCCTAAATGCCAGATGGGAAGAGGAACTTAAAACATAACTTTCTTTCTCCAAAATATGTAAAAATCCAGGCTTGAAATTAAAAGGGGCTTGAAGAGAGATCTATACCCCATGTTCATAGAAGCATTTTCCACAGAAGCCAAAGGATGGAAATAAACTAAGCAGCCACTGACAAATGAATGGATAAACACAATGTGGTATATCCATGTGAGAGGGAAATTCTGACCCATGCTACAAAATCAATGACGCTTGAAGACGTATTTCATGAAATAAGCAAGTCACAAAAAGACAAATACTATTATATCTGATTCTGATGTAGAGCAGGTGAGCCCCAAAATTGGGGCTTGCCCCAGAACTAAGGTTCTTGGCTTCGCCCAGGAGAGAATTCAAGGGTGAGCTGGCGGTGTTAGGCAGCAACTTTTATTGAAGTGGCAGTACACAGCAGCAATAGCAGAGGCACTGCTCCTTGTGAGGCAGGGCTTCCCCAACAGGCTGTGTGCCCAGAGCAGCAGTTCAGAGGCAGGTCTGCAGTCATATTCATATCCAGTTTTAATTATATGCAAATTAAGGGGTAGATTATGCAGAAATTTCTAGAAATAGATTAACTTCTGGGTCATTGGCTCATGCCATGGAAATAGGTGGTAACTTCCAGGTGTTTTCATGGCAATGGTAAGCTGACAATGGATCTGTCTTATGGAAAGGTGCTTTCGCCTCTTCCCTGTTTCAGATAGTGTTCAATCTGGTCTGGAGCATGAGCCCTGTCTCTAGAGTTGAGTCCCACCTCCTACCTCAATTCCGCTCCTATGTGGCACCCAGAGCAGTCAAATTCTTAGAAACAGAAAGTAGAATGCTGGTTACCAGGAGGTAAAGGGAGCCAGAATGGGAAGTTAGTGTTTAATGGGTACAGAATTTCAATTTGGGAAGATAAAAAAGTTCTGGAAATGGATCATGGTGATGGTTATACAACACTGTGGAGGTACTAATATCAACAAACTGTACGCTTTAAAATGGTTAAGGTTGTAAATTTTATGTTAGGTGTATTTTACCTCAATTTTTTTCTTTTTTGAGAGAAGGCCTCACTCTGTTGCCTAGGCTGAAGTGCAGCAGTGTGATCATGGCTCACTGCAGCCTTGACCTCTGGGCTGAAGCAGTCCTCCTGCCTCAGCCTCCCCAGTAGATGGGACCACAGGCCAGCACCTCCATGCCTCTTTTTTTTTTTTGAGAGATGAGGTGTCATCATGTTGCCCAGGCTGGTCTTGAACTCCTAGGTTCAAATGATACTCCCACCTCAGCCTCCCAAAGTGCTAAGATTACAGGCACCAGTCACTGTGCCCAGCCTACCACAATTTTTTCTTTAAAAATTCAGGCTTGATTCCACAGAGCCTTTGTTTAATGATGGGAAAGGTCCTAATTTTATGTCTTCTACTTTTCCTGGGGATATTACATGTTATTCTCTATACGTGTTAATTTTTAGTTAAAAAAAAAAAAAACTCTGTTACATTCTGCTTAAAAAAGAGAAATGTCTTCTACTTTTCCTGGGATATTACATGTTATTCTCTGTATGTATTAATTTTTGGTAAATAAATGACTCTGTTACATTCTGCTTAAAAAAAAGAAATACAGGCTGGGCACAGTGGCTCATGCCTCTAATCCCAGCACTTTGGGAGGCTGAGGCAGGCGGATCATGAGGTCAGGAGATCAAGACCATCCTGGCCATGGTGAAACCCCGTCTCTACTAAAAACACAAAAAAATTAGTCGGGTGTGGTAGCAGGTGCCTACAGTCCCAGCTACTGGGGAGGCTGAGGCAGGAGAATGGCATGAACCTGGGAGGCAGAGGTTGCAGTGAGCCGAGATTGCGCCACTGCACTCCAGCCTGGGCAACAACAAGACTCCATCTCACAAAAAAAAAAAAAAAAAAAAAGAGAGAGAAAGAGAAATATATATTTCTCAATACGTAGGAGTCCACCTAAAAAAATTATAAAGAGGTTGTTCTTTCTGTACCCCCTCTCTGTGAACCTCTTGTAATACCTCATGCCAATAATGAGAGTAGTTATGCAGGTCAAATTCCTTACCGATAATGCTCCATCTTCTAACCATCAGTGAAAATTAATCTTTTTGTTTCATTCACTCATCCAACAATAAGTGATCACTAACATATATTGAACAATTACTACACTATGTGCCAGGAGATGTGCTAACAACTTCAAATGCATAATAGATATTTAGTTACTCTTATTAGTAGATAAGTCTTCCCAATTTTTGCAGGAAAAACTTGAGCCGAAGTAGAACTCAAATTTAGATCAAGCTGGGCAAAGTGGTGTAAGCCTGTAGTCCCAGCTATTCAAAACGCCTCCGAGGCAGGAGGGTTGCTTGAGGTCAGGAGTTCAAAGCCAGCTTGGGCAACACAGCAAGACCCTGTCTCAAAAAAAAAAAAAAAGGATCATAATCATGCTGCTATAAAGACACATGCACACATATGTTTATTGCGGCACTATTCACAATAGCAAAGACTTGGAATCAACCCAAATGTCCATCAGTGACAGACTGGATTAAGAAAATGTGGCACACATACACCATGGAATACTATGCAGCCATAAAAAAGGATGAGTTTGTGTCCTTTGTAGGGACATGGATGCAGCTGGAAACCATCATTCTTAGCAAACTATCACAAGAACAGAAAACCAAACACCACATGTTCTCACTCACAGGTGGGAACTGAACAATGAGATCACTTGGACTCGGGAAGGGGAACATCACACACTGGGGCCTATCATGGGGGCGGGGGGGGGATTGCATTGGGAGTTATGCCTGATGTAAATGATGAGTTGATGGGTGCTGATGAGTTGATGGGTGCAGCACACCAACATGGCACAAGTACACATATGTAACAAACCTGCACGTTATACACATGTACCCTAGAACTTAAAGTATAATAATAATAAATAAATAAATAAATAAATAAATAAATAAATAAAAAAGGATCATACCTAACATACGTAATTCATCACACTCAAATGGCCAGAGAGCTTTAGAGCTGGGAAATACACTTAGCAATCTTCAAGTTCAGATGCCCTCATTATTGCTTACTTTCTTCTATTATGAAAAATTTCAAATATATTCAATAGCAGTCAAAGAGCATAATAAACTTATTTTTATACTATAGTAAAACTATAGTAAACCACTCAGTGTCAATAATTATCAATGTATGGCCGATCTTGTTTCATATTTACCCACACTCATTTTCCTCCCGATATCTCATATAACATTTTTTGCTGTTTTTTAAACTTTTTATTTGGAAATAATTTCAAATTTACAAGTAAGTTGCAAAGATGAAAATAATAAAAAGAACACCCATTACCATTTACCCAGATTCACCTGTTAACATTGTATCC